GCATATGGTCCAACTACTGATATGGATGCTACCGTCACTTGTTTTACGTCACATGTTTTACTGAACATGCTGTTCAGTACTTTAAGTATGAATTTTAATCGAAGGAGTTATTAAAGGTATCAATCTAAGTAACAACAACTTATCTCTGGTGAGCGAACAAGTAAAAACAGGTTCTTCTACAATACCATTTTCCCATTTAACTAGCTCTTGAAGAGTAGTTGCTGCAAAGTTAAGTTTAGGTGTTTTTCTTGGTCTGATTCGCATATCTCCAAGGATATCATTACCCCTTAGTTTCAAAATTCGATCAACTGCAAAATTGCGATCTTTTGCATTATTACTAGATAATAAAGAGATTAGTATACTTTCATGGTTCGCATACCAAGCCCCTAACTGAATGTAGGGAGTCACAATTTCTTTTACTCTATCAGGTTGCATTCTAAGAATTCTCAATTGAGACAGAATGTGATAAGAAGCATCTTCAAGTCTGTTTTTGACCTTTATGTCAAAAAAAAGTTTAAAGTAAAATTGTAAACAAAATACAACAAGTATTTCTAGATTTTGGGAATTTTTATCATTTAAGTTGTGTTTCCTTGTCCACATAAAGACTATTCTCATGCCAGTAGTGAGCCATCTGGCTTGACTTAAGGGGCCACATTAAATTTCTCTAAGATTAGGTGGCAATAAACCAATCTTAACTGCTTTACATAGCTTGTAACATTGTTTCTGATCTGTTGACATATTTTTTAATATTGTTTCTGGAATGTCGACAAAGCTCTCTCCATTTGGAAGAGCTTTAAATTGAGGATTATACTCCATTTTAATAACATCAGGAAAAAATTTTCCCACAGGACCAACAAATCCAGTACTACATGATGTTGGTCCATCAATGTCTTCTATAAGGTGACGCAAAAATAATTCATTCGAATGAAGCATGCATATGGCCCAGTGGCACTTGTGACCTAACAGCTTTTCAAGATGCGTTATAGCGCCACCTTTCCAGCCTGTGTTAATTGAAGTACTGTCAGCTCCAAGTACTAAACATGATTCAGTAAGATTATGTTGTTGCAGCAAATTATAAACACCTTCAGCAATCTTTTTAGCTGGCTTATCTAGATGATTAGGTGCATTTGGGGTAAAATGGCCAAGATATCGACCACCAGGTTCTATAGTCACAGTAATGTGCTGCTCTTTGATAATAATAGGATGTAGCTGTCCATTTGAATCATTTATCATTGCTCTTGTTGAATCTTTCCTTCCGTCAAAGTAAATGGCAATATTATCTGCTTTCGGAAGTTTTAAATTATCATTTTTCTTCGCAACTACCATCACCTTTTTTCTCTCTCTCGTCAACTTAGAAGGATCACAAGCAAGGTAAGAGGACTCAGGGGTGAGAAATCCTGCTTCAATTAAATCTTGAAGATAACTTGTAGCAATTGCTGCAGTTGCGGCAGGTGAAATGCCAAACCTATAAAATAAGAATGGTTTATATTTATTTCTATTAACTCATGTTGCTGCTCAACAAAACAATAGTCAATATAATTACCTTATACTAGCCATAGCTGTGTTTTTTATTGACATAGTGTTATATCTTGACTTCTTTTCTAAAAACCGTGTTACAAGGAAAGCATAGACACCTAACTTTTCCTTTAGCAGCCTTTTAACCAAATTCTTAATTTCATTGTCTTTTTTTAAAGTTAAGTTAACATTATCTAGATTATAGTTTTCATCAAGAAAGCCAGGAAAAATATTTTTTTGATGTTCTTTATCTAATTCTATATCTTCTTCTTCTGCGACCTAAAACCAAATTAAAACCAAAATATATATATATATATATATATATATATATATATATATATATATATATATATATATATATATATATATATATATATATATATATATATATATATATATATAATATATAATATATATATACATATATATATATATATATATATATATATATATATATATATATATATATATATATATATATATATATATATATATATATATATACATATATATATATATATATATATATATATATATATATATATATATATATATTTATATATATATATATATATATTATATATATATACATATATATATATATATATATATATATATATATATATATATATATATATATATATATATATATATATATATATATATATATATATATATATATATATATATATATATATATATATATATATATATATATTATTGTTATTATTATTATTATATGAAAAAAGAAAATATTTATTTCTAAGAAATTATATTTACCTTGAAGGATGCTTGTTCCTCCTCTATTTTTTTAATTCTTTTCTTGTAAGCTTCTTTATCGCTGACTTTTCTCTTATACTTTTTTCTTAGTTTCATTGTCTCGATCTTATCAGCATGTCCCATCTGCATGTCAGACTTTTCACCTGTCTTATTTCTTTGACTGTATAACCACCTGAGCTCCATAGTTGGAATTTTTTTAGAATAAATACAGGTGCAATTTATATGTGCTTTATTTTTACAATTTTTGGGGGAAGAACACCCAGACAGATCATGCTCGCATAGAAGTATTGTGTGAGGACATGTTATGAGGTCCATTAGTTTATCTAACTTCAATATTAGCTCTTCTTTTACTTTTACCTTAGTTCTTCCCCATGCAACGTTTTCTACTTTCTCCCAAAGTGTTTTTATTTTAAAATAAAGCGATTTCTCCCCAATAATAACTGGTTGTTGAAATAAAATACTTGCTTTTTTCCATTGAGCAAGAACAAGTGGAGTTAGATCGCTAGCAAGATCTTTGTTAGAATATTTGTTTTGGTGTAAATTACATGTTATGCTTTTTTGTTCTTTTAATAAAATTCCTTTTTGAATAACTGCTCTGTTTGTAGGCAGCTCACTAGGAATAAAATCTTTTCCAGGTCCAACAAACTCAGAAATGCTAGTGGTGGGTGAATATCTAGTTTTAACTTTCGACATTTATGAATAATTTGATAATATAACAAATAAAATATTTACAGACTACGATCTTGTTTAGATGTTTTTTACGGTGGAGAGCTAAGAATTTCTTTAAAAATTGATTTGGCACTGTGCTCATTATGAGAAACTAAACATAAAACCGGATTAAATTTACTTTATAATAATTAAAGTATATTTCATTTTAATAATGTCTAAATATGAAAATTTGGGTATCAAAACGTTTTCTAATCAAAAAGTTGTCCATAGCAAACCTACCTTAAAATTTAATTTTACATAAGAATACACCTTTTCCTAAGCTTTAATTTTATTTTTTTCAAAAACATATGAAATTCACTGTACCCTAATGTATATATATATATCTACTATAGCATATTTATATGCGCAATTGCTCACTTTTTTTGCTAGCCTAAATTAAGTGAGCATTTTTAGAAAACGATGAGGGAAAACGAAGAATAATGAATGAAAATGTTGCTGACCCATACCAAACCCTCAGTCGATGTAGCAGCACTCCACGGCGAGTCAGGCTATTTGTCAGTCGATGTATGTACTGAAGCCCCCGGCAGCAGGGTATTTGACATTAGGTGAGTATGACATCATCATGCTCACCTAACTCAGCAGTATAAGATATATATGTATATATATATATATATATATATATATATATATATATATATATATATATATATATATATATATATATATATATATATATATATATATATATATATATATATATATGTATATATATATATATATATATATATATATATATATATATATATATATATATATATATATATATATATATATATATATATATATATAAGGGTGGATCGATTTTCATAGCAAAAAAAAAAAGTTCTAAAATCAATATTCCTGAGACACGAATCATAATAAGCGTATTATTCTGCTTCTTTTGAGTACCAGGTTGATATAGTTTAGAAGAAAAAAAATTTCAACAATATTAGGATCCGTCATAAATTATATATATATATATATATATATATATATATATATATATATATATATATATATATATATATATATATATATATATATTTATATATTAGGGTAGCCCTTTATACAACTTTTTTGAGAAAAACCTGCTCCCACCCCTTAAATTTGTTCTATCTAATACAAAAACACTAGGTTTAAAATTTTTGTTAATAAAAAATATTTTGAGGGGACCCTCGAGACCCTAGAATATTTAATGGGTCCCTAATATATAAAAAAAAAAAAGTTTTTCAAAAATATGTTAACCTAGTACTCAAATGAAGCGAAATTATATAAAAATTTCAAAAATTATATTCATTTTAAAAAAATTTCAACTTATTTATTAAAATTATCTTAAAAAATATTTTGTTTTCATTTTTAGTTAAAAAACATAATTTTTTAAGTAATAAAACCAAAAATAACAATTTTTCTCAAAATTAATACTATTTTTGAAATTTTAATTTAATATTGCTTCATTTGAGTACCAGGTTAACATATTTTTGAAAAACTTTTGTTTTGAAAATATTAGGGACCCATTAAATATTCAAGGGTCTTGAGGGTCGCCTTAAAATATTTTTTATTCAAAAAAGTTAATATTTTTTAAGTATTTTCATTTATACCCACTTTTGATATTTTTGTTGTTCTTATTTTCTCTGTACTTTAACAGCAAATTTAGTTACCAAAAGTATTTTTAAATCCCTTAATAAAAGAGTATAAATAACCTTTTTTGAAGTATATTAGTATGCAAAGATTTTTGTAACTTTCCTAACTTAAGATAAACAGTAAAAATGTAAATAAAGATTTTTTGAATAAAAAGAATATATAAAATAGTACGATATATTAAACATATTTAAAAATCTAACTGACATCAATTAAAAAAAAAATTTTATTTTAACTTTTGAATGAATGATCTTGCTTGCTAATGACATTAAAAAAAAAAAAAAAAAAAAAAAGTTATTGTTCTTGATCAACTTTTTAAATCCCTTAATAATTCATAATATGAGATATTTTTTTGCAAGGAAAAAATGCTTATTCAACTGGGTAAGAAAGTAGAAGAAGTTTATAAAAACTGTATTGGTGAAAATGAAGCTAACATTAGGTTTAATTTATTATATATTATTTTTATTTTTTGCATTTAGTATCTACTTACAATGTTATACTGTCATATAACTTAATTTTAATTTAATACTATAAAAGCAGTTGTTATTATATTTTTATTTAAATATTTTTGTTGTTTAAGTGCCCTTCAAATGCTGACCAGCATAGAAAATCGTCTTGAGGAGTTGTTTGAAACAATAGAAATAATGCCTGCTGAAAAAGTTGAAATAGCTGAAAAAGTAAGTGTTTTACATAAGATTGTTTAAGATTGTTTAAAATGGTCGTCTTCTACATTTAGTTTTTAATTTTGAATCTATAAATCTAATAAAACTTTAACAGTATTTGTAATAACTTAAAAATAGACAATAATTCTATTAAAGTTTATATGTTATGAAATTTATTTATAAATATAATAATAAACAGTAAGATATAAGTATGATTTACCCCACATGATAAGAACTTTATTTACAAAACTTTGTTAACTCTATCTTGTTTTATAATTTTTTTTTTTAATAAGTTAAGGTGTTAGCAGTTTTTTTCCTTAAATTACTATTATTTAGTATGACAATAAAATTAAATGACAATTATATTAGTATGACAATAAAATGTTGTTTTTTTAAATACTTTTTGTTATTTAATTGTTTTAATTCAATTAGCTTTCATTAATTTTTGTTTTATAATTTGTTTCATTAAGTACAAAGATATTTATAACAAAATTTTTTTCCTAACTTTTCATAATTTATTTCTTGACTTTTCTTAGCTTTTGCTGTATACATAAATAGTAGAAAAAAATTATATCATTAAACATACCTTCCAAGTTTTTTAAAATTATGTTTCAATAAAAAATATCTTGATTCATATTTACTTATTTGCCATTCATAAATTACTTCTTTTTTTTTAAACCTTTTTGATGATAGATCCCTTCAATCTAGTTTTTTTTCTAATCTACTTCTTAGCTTGCTCCATGAAACTCCAAAAGTAGAAAAAAGAGCTTGCATGATTTTTATTTTTAACATTTTTTAAAATGCAATAATTGCATTGACACTGTAGTACATTTATTTCACATTATCATTCAGTCTTTTTGTAAATTCAGTTATGTTATTTCAATCACCTGCTAGCTTTCGTTTAATCCAAGAGACATAACTGTTTTACTTATTAAAATGTTGGATTTCCGTAAGTCTATTGTGCTAAGCAGTAAAATGCTTTAATTTTTTTACTTCAAGTGTAAAGTCAATGATTAAAAATGTGTTTAAACAGGTTAAACTGGTGCCTTGGCACTGGTCCAAATGCATAAGTATTATTATTGTTAGTAGTAGCAGTATGCAACCCATAATACAACTCATGATTAATATGCAATGAACAATAACAATTTAATTTAATATATTATATTAAATATATGATAAAGTATAAGACTTATAATATATAATCAATTTAGTTGTGTTTGGTTTTAGTGGAATCTCGGCTTTTAGTTAACAACTTATTAGCTTAAAGTTTACTTTTAATTTATGACTTTTACTTAATGACATAAAAAGACTTATTAACTTTAAAGTTACTCATAGATTTAACTATTTATATTAGGTCAATTATTCCTAGTTTATACTTTGAGGCAAATATTACCAAAAAAATAAAATTAAATTTTTAGTTAATAATTGCAATATCTGAGTTATAGACAAATTATATTATTAATATAAATTGTCTATCACTCAGATATTGTATACTGAATTTACAGCTGTAATTCGAACTTCTATAATTCGTAAGAAAATTTAAATTAAACAAATTCATCTCTTTATTGTTTAATATTTAGACTTGAACTCCTATAATTTAAAAACTTTTGTAATTCAAATTTCTTTTGAGACCCTTTGAGGGTTCAATATAAATGAGTTCAAATGCAAATAGTTGTTGTTGTTTTTTTGCAATATTTTTTAAAACTCTGATTACATTAAAGAGAGTCACATGTTCCCACGTTTCACATGTTCCCTCTTTAATTCTAAATGGTTTTCAACTGTCACAGTAATTTAAATTCAAAATTATGATCATTTTTAAAAAAAGCCATGAAACTCTAAAATGTTTATTTAGTTTGGTTATTTTACTAACTTTATTTTACACACTTTGTATTACTAACTTTGTTTTACTAATACCATGTTCACATAAATAACTTCATATTAAGTATTTGTCAAGTAATTTTAGTAACTAATAAGTAATAAACAATAATGTTAATAAAAAAATTGATAAATGATGATAAAGATAAAAACATTAACTGATATTTTGTTTTATTTTCTTTATTCTGATTTACTCCCGACAAGTCTGCAAGCAACCAATATTATGTTGGTAGTAACTAGAAAAAAATAATGGAGTTGTAGAGGAAAAAAAAGGTTGACAGAAAACTTATAACTTTGAAGGTTGTATGTGTCAGGAAAACAAGAATATGGGAGAGAGTTCCAAAGGGTTTAAGTGCGGTAAAAACCTAGACAATTAAATGTTTTTGGAAAATGCAGGAACAGATACAGTAAAAGAATGAGACTTTGATGAATAACAAGTCAAGCGAGAATGAGTTTTAGTTGATGGAACTAGAGATGAAAGCTCCTTTGAGCACCGGCCATGATAGTATTTTTAAAAAAGAGAAAGAAATGCAACTTTACGACGATGGGAAAGAGGCTCAAGCTTAGTAGATAGATCAGGTCCAACAATGTTTACAATTCATTTTTTCCAACAATGTTTACAATGCATTCTAGACCTTGTCTAGAAGAAAAAGAGCATCATTAGAAGAACTAACCCAAATATGATAACAGTATTCCATACAGGGATGAATAAGAGATTTGTAGAGGTAGAGAGTTGAATCTGGATAGAGAAAATGGTGAGCACGATAAAGAGAAGCAACCTTAGCAGATGCTAATTTAGCAATCGATTGTATATATGGTTTCCATGAAAGGTCAGTAGTAAATGATAATCCAATAAGATGGAAAGTAGAGGACTCAGTGAGAGGGTTGCCATTCATTAATATAAGAATGTCGACAGTACTGCGGTAGTTGTTTGCAGTAAATAATTGAGTTTTGTTGAATTTAAAATTTACAAGCCATTGTGAGCCTCAATCTGTTACAGAAGTGAGGTCAGATTCAAGATTGGCTGCCTGTTTAAGCAATCAAAAAGAGAAGACTTATTGTCAAGACAGGAGTATAAAGTTGAGTCTTCAGCAAAAAGAGCTACTTTAGATGTAAGGTTGTCGGGAAGATCAATAATCTAGATTAGAAACATAATAGGACCAAGGGTAGAACCTTGACACCCCAGACGTTACTGGAAATAAAGAAGAGTTTTGGTTTTCAAGGAGGACTTTAATAAAGTGGTTAGAAAGAAATAATTTGATAATCTCAAAAACATTCCCAGATACACCATATGAAATAAGCTTATGGAGAAGACCAACATGCCAAACTTTGACAAAAACCTTAGATATGTCAATAGCAATAGCCCTAGTGTCTTTGCCTCAATCTAATGCATAATAAAATCTTTCAGTCACAGCAGTTAGCAAGTCAGCTGTAGAGCAAGAGAATCGAAAACCGTATTGATTTTTGACTCAAGTTAGGATATGAGAAAATTGTTTATCAAGGACTCAAAGACTTTGCTAACAGAAAGAAGACTGATTGGACGATAATTGGAGGGGTCAGAATGTTCACCAGAGTTTTTGAAAATTGGAACAACAGATGTCATTGACTGTGTCTTGTTTGTTCATCATTGTTTTGATGAACAAACAAGACTCAGTCAAGCACTTATTAAATAGTTTAGAGAAAATTGAGGAGAATTTCAGAGAAAAATTTTGTAAGATTGTGACAGTAATGTTGTTTGGACCACAAGCCATAAAAGAGTTTAATTGAGATATGATTTTAGCTACGGAAGCTGGAGTGTTTTGAATGTATAACTATGGATTAACCTGTTTAATTAAAATGGAAGGAAGTGAATGGCCGTAAGATTCAAGAGTCGAATTAGAAGAAAAACTATTTACAAATAGTTTAACCTTATTCTTGGGAGAGGTAATAATATCAGTCCCATGAATGACAGATGGAATGTTAGACCAACCAAGTCTATATAATTTTGTGATAGGTAAGATTCAAATTATGGAAGATTACTTTGCAGATTACAAATATTAGTAAAAGATATATTGAAACAGTTAGATGGTAGGGATGGTCTTTTATGTTTAATATTTTGATTTACTTTTAGCATAATTTAAATTTAAAGAGAACTTGACTCATTCATAGATAGAGCATGACCTCCCAAGCAATGAGCTATGCAAGTTGCAACATAGAGCTCCTTATGTAACCTTGACAACAAGCGCCAAAAGCATTAACAGGGATACCATCCATGCACAACATGGCACTGTTAATACTCTGATATTTTGCATCTGATGATGGAATCAGCCTCTCTGAGAACTACTACAGAGTTCAGGAAACCTTACTACCAACCGGCCTCAGAACCATTAAACTGAGTTTTAAAGCCAGGCCATCATTAGAAGATAACAGAAAAAGTTGCATAGCTACTATTTAGGTTGCACAAGCAAAAACCTATGAGAAAAGTCAAGAAGATCCAGCATTCATTATCCTAAGCAGAAAACAATGTAGCACAAGTTTACATCTACGCCAGCCTAATAGATAAAGAAGGGATTCAAGGCTGGTCAACAAAATTATTCTGCTTTCCCATAAAGTCTTTGCCTAGGAAGCCTCCTACAAGATTGTAGCTGGATGCAGTTAACATCTGCCCAAGATTAGTATTTTTATTAAGACGCCATATCTAGCCTTTACTCAACCAAGAGCCTAAAGGCAGAGGATTTTTAAGTTGGAGTTTCTCCCAGCTTTTGTCTAAATAGCACACTCTACAAGGCAGCAGGGCATGGAACAGGTAGTACTTAATAATAATATACGGTTACATAATATCAGTAGCAGGGTGATCATGATGATTCTGAATTCGACCTGATATAAACATAAACATACATAGATATAAACATAAACATAGGTATAAACATAAACAAACAGAATACAAACATCCAGATAGCAACTTACGGGTGAGTCAACACAGCGCCAGAGGTTCAGAGAGAACACAAACATACAGATATTATGAGATAATTTACTATAATGATAATATTAGTAAGATAATATGAGATAATTTACTATAATGATAATATTAGTAAGATAATATGAGATAATTTACTATAATGATAATATTAGTAAGATAATATGAGATAATTTACTATAATGATAATATTAGTAAGATAATATGAGATAATTTACTATAATGATAATATTAGTAAGATAATATGAGATAATTTACTATAATGATAATATTAGTAAGATAATATGAGATAATTTACTATAATGATAATATTAGTAAGATAATATGAGATAATTTACTATAATGATAATATTAGTAAGATAATATGAGATAATTTACTATAATGATAATATTAGTAAGAGTAACGATAGTACTAACATTAAACTAAAACAATACTAACATTCTAATAACAAAAACAAAACAAAAAAACATGAACATCAACAATAATAACAGTACTAATTTAAGAAAAGCAATAAAAAAAAATGTTTACAAATACTAGCACAGGATGGGATCATGATGTCCCACAACAGTTAAAGATACAGAGATAATTAACAAATAGCATAACAGAAACTTTATTTTTGTTTTTGTCTTTAATAAATTTTTTGATCTTGTTGATAAAAAGTCCTCTTTCCTGTTTTCAGATATTTATGCTTGATTTTAGAGGAAAGATAATTTGATGATTTATACCATTGATACTTTGAAATAAATAAATACTATACTTAGATATTTGCTTCAAATCGCAAAGTTGTTGCATGATACTGATCTTAAATCAGAATGAATAATTGTAATAAAAAATTTATAATAACTATCAAAGCTTATTGATAAGTAGATTATTAATTATGTAGACTGTCCTAGATAAAAGGTACAGTTCATCAGGAATATTAAATATTTAATCTTCATTGTTTTTGATAGGCTTTAAATGATGTTTGAATCAATTTTATAAAAAAACTAGTTTGAATTGCTTTTTGCTTATGATTTTCATTGATAATAGTTAAAACAGGCACCATGTAGTTTGTACAAAAACAAAGAAATTTTCTGGAATATTTATTTGTTCTTGGTTGGTAGAAACAAGACAAAAGTTCTTCAAATGTTCTAAGAACATTTTTTCCAGTTGCATTCACACATATTTGAAAGCATATTTGTCCATGTTCCGTAGAATGTTCCATCAAATATCTCCTAGTATGAGCGTATAAACAGCATATAACTTTGTTTTACAATTTTTATTTTACTAATATCTTATTCGCACTGAACCTACACTTGTAAAACTTTGTTTTACAAACTTTGTTTTACAAACTTTGTTTTACTAACTTTGTTTTACAAACTTTGTTTTACTGAGCTTTGTTTTACTGAGCTTTGTTTTTCTAACTTTTACTGAGCTTTGTTTTTCTATCGTTGTTTTACTGAGCTTGTTTTACTAACATTTATATTGTTTTGACAAACAAAATTTGCCATTTACAATCATTGTTATGATTTTGGTCTAGAATGTTTTAAAACCATTGCAGTAGTCACTTTTTAAACCAACTAGATGTATTTCAGTTCATTACAGTGAAATTATGGTCATTCAAAAAAAAAAAAACCTATTTAGTTTGATTTATTTAAAAACCCTTGGTTTTTCTAACTTGTACACACATAACAAAAATAATAACAGAATTAATTTAATTATAATTAATCATTAAACAAAAGTTTTCAATACAAATTTTCATTGTGAATTCTGTACAATGTGAAAACTGTTTAATGAAGTTATTTTGTTTAAAAACTAAAATCTGTATGTATGTTTACTAACATGCAGGTTTTTAAAAATCATTGAAGTAAGCACAGATTCCTTAAGCGTGTTGTGAATCTTATGAATCTCTGTGTCTTATCTCATTTCTTAGGCATGAGTCTCATTACAAAATTCATATGTTTATAAATGATGTATATTTTACTCAAAAATGTTTTAAAATAGGTCATTGAAGAATATACCTTGCATCTAAAATCTTACCTACCTGCTCTTTACAGATTATTACAGTTATATATTTTTTTCCTGACTTATTATCAAAAATAACTAATTTAGTAACATATAAAATCAGTCTTTGATTGTTTTATCTTACTGCTATCTTATCTTACTTTATCTTATTGCTATCTTATTTTATCTTACTGTTAATTTTAGATTAAAGACAAAGAACGACGCCTTCGTTTGCGCGAAGAAAAGTTACTTGAGCAAAAAAAAAATCAAGAAGAAAGAATAAGGAAAGCTATTGAAAGAGCGAAAGCCGAACCTAAAAAAAAGGTAAAAATATATTGCATTTATTTTACAATATGTAAAAAATTACAGAATGTTTTACACAAGTTGCAAAATTGCCTAGTTTGTGAAACTGAAAAAAAGAAACGTTTTTTTTTTAATATAAAAAACATTTTGTATATAAAAATTTATTTCAAAATATTCATATTGATTAGTTAACTAATTTTAAAAAGTATATTTTTGATGTAGTTTATTTCTATGTTATTTTATTTTATTTACATATTATGTTTAAACTTTTTTATTAATAGCTTTTTTAATTGCATGACTTTAATTTATTTCAATATAAATTCTTTATTATAAATATATAAAAACTCCAAAACATTTTCTTGTTTCAATATTTGTGCAAACTTGTTTAATAAACTGGGCAGTTTCACAACCTGTGAAATTGTTGACATCTGCTCGGACTAGTAATTAAAGTTTCAGCAATAGTCAAGTCCATTTAACTTAATTAATGCTATGGTTTTTAATAATGGATAAGATCACCATGGTGACTTGGATTTGGTAGTGATTAAATAAATAAAGTTAAACAGCAAATTTTCACCTTTGGGAAAATCAAAGACAGATTTTTTTACTGCATTTTTAACCTTTTCTAACTAAAAGAATAACATTTATATTAAAGAGCTGTTGTCTGTTAAAACCATGCAGTTGCAAATATTGAATGTCACTAATTCCCTTTTCTTTTTTTCTACATATTTGGTTGTTATTATAAACAAAATGACAAACACCAAATTCTTTGTTCTAAATTTTTGCTATTTGGCTGTGTTGGGGCTGCAACACAGCAATTTTTTTTGTCAGTTTTGTCTAATTGACTTAAAGTCGTACTTTTAAAAGCCATAACTAGAGAATAAGGCTGTCAAAAATCACAAAAATGCTTGCCCGGGTACCCGTTGAATGAACGGGCGGGTACCCGGGTACCCGTTAAAAAACATTATTTTTTATCAAAGTTGTACTTATAAAAAATAATAAGCAATAAAAACACTTCAATCAACGATTTCATTCATTTTCACTTAAATCTAAACTTTATTTTACATTAAGTGTCCAAGTTACAAAACTTCCAATTATGGTAAAGAAAAACTAAAATGTCTACTGTTTCGGGTGCCAATGATGCACGCCGTCAATTGATCACATGTCCAGCAGTTGAAAAAGCGCATTCTGCTGACACTGAAGTTGCAGGTATGCACATGTACTTGCGAGCCAAAATAGAAAGATTTGGGTAACATTATCTCTCTAAACTTTGGGTAACGTTATCTCTCTAAAACTCTAAGATATTCCCGTTCACAGTCATTGGTGTTTCCAAAAGGTAAGACACCAATTCATTCATATGTCCAAACCCTTTGTTGGCTGTGCAATGCAATGCTAGTTTATCAAAAACATTCTCCTTCGGTAAGTCCGGCTCTAATTAATCTCGTGCTTGCTTTGGCATTGGTTCTTCTGCTACTACTTCTATATTTTCTTATTACACTGGCATAACAATAGCTTCCATTTCAGCTCTAATGGCGAAATATGTTTCATTTCGAATAGGGTCTTCGAAAAATTTTAAAAGCTTATAACGTGGATCTAATACAGATGCTTTTGGTCCAGGTAGTACGCTGAATCCTTCCAGATAATATCGCTTTGTTATTTCAGTAGCAATGACAATTTTGCAATTTTAGGCAGCAGTGCATTCGTCTGGTGGTGCTGCTCAAACACTTTTTAGAACAATAGACAACAGTGGATAAACTAATGAAAACGAAGGATATTTCTGACCAGATGACATAGTTGTTACCTGCTTTAATGATTTCCGAATGGGTATAATGGCTTGTGCAAGCAACCAGTTTTTATCCGTTTGTAGAGTTTACGCATTTCTTTTTGTTGTAAAATTTCGGTTTGACAACTAATAAAATAAAATAAGATAGTGAATGCTGCTGATTGAAATATAAATTTCAAAAATCTAATATTGTGTAATAAAATAAAAGTAATAATAATTATAAATGTAAACAACAATTTTCACTGCCTAATATTGTTTAACTTTAAATGTTTTGATATTATAAAAAATTATAATTATCTGGTATTAATAGAAATAATCTTCCTCCTTTTGCTTAGCTAAACAAGATTTTTGCTTAGCTAAGCAAGATTTTTTCTCTAGGAGAAAAATTTTGTCTTAATCACAGCAGATACAATTTGTTCTGTTTTAACTTGATTTTCCTTAACCCAATCATGCAAGTTTTGGCATTTTGCTGCAATGGTGCAAGAATGATTGGAACCTTGAGTCATAATTGACGAACAATGCGTATATCTTTTTTCTGTCGATGAAAAGGAAGGATTTAAAAAAATTTCAAGCCTGGAAGATTTGCCATCTTTGAGATTTATATTGCGTGTCTTTCGTCCTAAAGGATGCTTTTTATTAAGTTTAAGCTTTCCAATTTGGCGAAATCTTAGAGAAATAGTAGACATGTGGTAATAAACACGTAGTATCACCAGCGCCTTTTTTTGCAAAATAGTTCATTACCATAGTCTGATGTCAGTTGTTTATTTTATTTACATATACGGTAAATCTGTAACACTCAAATTACTACAGTAAAATAATTTTAAATTTTAATATTTAAGGTAACAAATTTTTACAATAGCATTTTTTGGCATTTCTACAAAAATACCCCAATATATTTGCCTTCTTAAACCTCATCTAGAAAAATAATTTTTTTAGAAAGAAAAAAATAACGCTATCCTATAGTAAATCAATATTCATTAAAAAAAACTAAAGTTTCATCATTTTTTTTTCGTGTTTTAGAATAATGACAATGTAATGAGTTGAACCCTTTAAACTTGAGGGGGTTGTAAACTTTACATGGTCAACATTTCTAAACACAAAGTTTTGCCGATGAAATTTGAAATATATAAAAGAGCTTTGGGCTACTACAAAATAACGTAATTTTTTTTATCAAATTAATATTTTTCTAGACGTGGGTCATAAAAGAAAAATTATTAAGGTATTTTTTCCTCCAAATTCCGATTGCCTCAATTTTTTGCAAATCGTTCTCATTTGGTTCATCATAAAGATATAAAAGTTTTGAGTTTTTACCATGTATAGATGTTAACCATTTAGAAGTCAAAAAATTCAAAACCCACCTGTTAAATGCAAAAATCTGGTTCGGACAAAATTAAAAGATTTTAAAAACACCTCTAAATGTACTCGTAAGGTCTATATAATGCTTCCAAAGAAGAATTTTTTTGGTCCTTACATATGAGATTGATTGTAAATTGGACAAGGTGTGTTTACGTATGTCGAGTATGCAACAATTTAAAACATCTCCTCAAACTTTGATAATATTAGTAAAATTAACAGTTATTGTTATTTTAGATCCACTCTATTTTGTATAATTATTTTTATTTTAGATCCACTCAGTATTTTGTATAATTATTTTTATTTTAGACCCAATCTGTATGTTTTATAATTACTTTTATTTTAGATTTTTAACGTAAATAGAGCTGTAAAAGTATTTCTAAGTTGCCTCTACATTTTAATCTAATTTCTATAACTAAATTTTATTAAAAATACATGTGCTTGTGCGTTTTTATAGACTGGTAGACGATTAGTGTTTCGGTCTGCTCCACCACAAGCACGTAAACACGTGGAAATTTCGCGAGAAAAGTATGATAAAGAAGAAGAAGAACTGAAATACTTTTTTACATAATTTGAACTAGTTTAAATAAAAATATGATTTTTACATTGCTTTTCTCATGTTTAATTATGATTTTTGTTTTTTTCAATATTAATTTTACCACAACCAAATATCCGACGATCGCGCGTCAGTCAGAATCAGTCAGAAGTAATAAAAAGTAAACATTAAAGCAGGTGCCTAAACAATTTGATAAAGTTGAAGTGAAAATTAGTTACAAAAGAGTAAGAAGGCGTTTTTTTAAAAGTGGATATGTAGCAAGAAAACCAAGACAGAAGCAAAAATTAACCGAAACAATAACGAAGAAGAATATGAATGCGCTAAGCAACCTCGGATATAGACTAAGAAAAACTAGCATTTTATCATGAAAGGGCATTTTGTGTTGTGGACATTAGATCAATAAGAGAAAAAAAAACTGTATTAACTCGCTAAATCGCAAAAATGATTACGATATCGAATCTCTGATTTGTATAGCTGTCTTAAAATTAGGTATTTACAGGGGTGCGCAGGTTATCGTAGAAAAATAAAAATATTTATACCTCAAAAATGGCTTTTATTTTCAAAGTAAAACTTTTCACAATACCAAATCACATTTATTTTTACTCAAAAACACTAATGAATTTCAAAGTAGCCTCCTTTGGCATCAATGACACTCTTCAAACGCTCTGGAACTGACTTACAGCATCGTCGCACCATGACCGGACTAAGATTCTTCCAGATCTTCTTCAATTCGTTTCGGAGGGCTGCCAAATTTGGATATGTTTTGGCTGCCTTCTTGGTCTCATGACACTCCATATAGCAAAATCCATAGGATTAATGTCTGGGCTTGAAGGGGGCCACATATCTGGGGTCCAAAGGTGCGGAACATTTTCTTTCAAGAAGCTGACAGTTTTCTTTGCACTTTGTGCTGGTGCAATATCCTGCATAAAAGCCCATGGATCGTCCCCAAACTTCTTTTTGGCCCAAGGAATGAGGTTAGCTTTGATGAAGTCGACATAGGTCACCTGGTTGACTTTTACACCTTCAGGAACAAAAACAAGGGGAGTTTTTGACCCATCAGAGCACACACCTGCCCAAACCATGACGCCCACAGGGTGCTGTCTCTTTGGAATAGTCCTCAGTTACAAAGGAACTGTTCTTCTGGACTTACCAAGAACTCTGTCATTGTATCTGTTGGGTTCTGGTTCGACTGTGAAAATTTTTTCATCACTGTAAACGATAGGGACATCTTTGAGGTCTTTGAACCAATTTAGTAACTCTTTTGATCTTTTGCGTCTTTTGGCTCTAGTTGCCTCACTCAGAAGTTGTCTTTTTAACTTGACAAGGCTCTTCATACCCAGATCATTGTGGACAACACGTTGCATAGTCCTTCGAGACACACCTGCTTCTCTAGCTAAGGATGAAATTGACCTGTTTGGGTTTCGTCGTACTTTGCAGTCGATCGAATTTCGAAGTTCTTTAGTTCTCACATAACGATTTGGGCCTGTTTTTTTTCTTTTGTAATTTTTTCCAGTTTCTAAGTCTTTTAAGAGTCAGTAGACGTTGGAATTATAAAGCTGTCCCTTCACGGCTTTGCAAATTTCAACTTTTTTCACACCATGTTTCCATAGATCAAAAACAAGTTTTCTTGCATTTTCATTTTGCGTGCTGTCAAATCGTGCCATTTTTTACAACTAAATTAGTGAAAAACGGCATTCTTTAAGAATTAACTTGTTGAACTGTGTTGCATTTTCCCGCCAAAAATGTTTTTCACTGTATATCATATTTTTTGCTGCGAAATTTTTGTTTTCATTTTTTTCTGCGATAACCTGCGCATTCCTGTATCTCGAATTCATTGTAAAAGAAATTTTCTCGAAATTTGAAAAAAGTGAACTTGAAATAGCTTAATTAAGATTTAGATTTCAAAAAAAAAAAAAAAAGAAAAATAACAAAGAATAATAAAAAAGAGATAAGAAACTACCCCAGCCCTAATTCTCAGTCGATATAACGGCTATAGAGGTGGCATTTTGCGTTCACTTGCCCATTAATCAAAGGTAAACGCTACTCACGTTTATGGCCTCTTATGATTGTAAAGGTTGAACAGCGCAAAAAAGTGATCACGTTGTCGAGCGTGAATGGAAAAAAAGGAAAAAAATAATTTTAGATAAGCTAACATTAATGTTAACTTATTTCTAGAAATTATACTTACTAATGATAAAAATTTTAATAAGATTAAAACCACATTTTAAAACAATTAAAATATTGCTTTTAGGTGGCACACAACCATAAAAATGTAAGTTTTTTGAAAAAAATCAATTTTAGGAATTTTTGGTATTTTGATTCTATAACCATTCCTCCAACATATAATAAAAAGATTAGTCTCAAAAATAATATGAAAGTTGATTTAACAGCATTTTAGTAAATAGCAGTTTTATAAAAATTTCCATAACAACGCCTTAGCAACCACCAAGCATTTGAGTTTTTATGAATTTAAAACAGGAAAATACTTGATTTATCACAAACTTGATTTTAATGTGTTATATGCTGACTCTTGTTAGTTTTCCGTTTTAAAAGTCATACTTCAAAACTTAGAACAAAAGTGTTTTTTGAGGTAGGCTCTCTTGTCAAACCCCTATTCCGACGTTGAGCGTCCTTTGCATCCGCAAACTTGTATTTCTAGGAAATAGGCAAAATGAGGTATATAGGGATTTGCGCAGCGGTGCGCACATACATCGACTGATTTTTAGAGAGAACATGCAGCGGAGTGTGTAAACAACGACTAAGGTTTTGGGGTAGGCAGGTTCTCTTTAAAATGATGAAGTCGTTTTTTTACATTTTCAGACCTAAGGACAGCGTCGGAATAAGGGTTTGACAAAAGAGCCTACCGTTTTTTGATTGGTAATGTTAGTCTTTTATGTTGAAACATTTTCGTCATTTTGTATCAAATTATATTAAAATTGAATTGAATTTAGTTGAAATAAAATTGTTTTTAAATGAGTAAACAAGGAAATACAGGTAAAAGAAATTTATCAAAAAGAATAAAATGAAAATGGAATGGTGTTGCTGCATATAAAAAATCTAGCATTTCATCATCTTGCACAAATAAAACAGCTAGTAGCTGTTTTAGAAAAATCTAATGAAACTGTTCGAATACATTTGACTTTGAAAATTATAGCTATTTTATTTTTATTAACTTTTCTCAAAGAACTGATAGCTGAAACTGCATAAATAACTGCTTTCAGCTATTAACTTTATCAGGTGTTGATTCCATTAGAAAAGAGTTTGCACATTTGTTGTACTTAAAATGTGAACACTAATACTCCCTTATCAGGCGGAGGTAACCTAACAGAAAGATGTATAAATTCTATGCAAAACTACTATGGCATGGCAATTCGTCAAAATGTCAACAACTTGTATGCTATGAAAAAAGCAGTTAATGCTATTATATTTCATTTGAACAATTTTGAAAACCTGGAACTGCAACATCAGTTTTGTCCAAAATAATAGAAAATTTGGTGCAAATATTGGGCTCTCAATCTTAAAATTTACAAATCAAAATCGTGTATACCCATCTGAATTAAGAATCTTCTTTTGCCAATCATCAAAGATCTTCAACTGATTATCTTTTTAGTTAATGTTTGCATGGTGCAACCCAAAATGCCAATGAAGCTTAAATTCAGTTATATGGTCTTGTGAACCAAAGCACACATTTGTTAGTAAGTCAATATTGAAATGGGAACATACTCAACATTGCTACATTATAATGATCGTGCTAATGGTGTATTAGAAGTTTTAAAGTACTTTGGCCTAAATGGAATTGTCACATTAGCTTCATCATGTAAAATTGAAAACCAGAATTCGACATATGAAGTCAAAAACTGAGTGCAGTTGGAAAAGGTTTTATGGAAGACCCACAAGTAGAACACAAGGAATATAAGTATTACACAAGTAATACTTATATTCCTGGTCGGTTTTGATAATTTTTATGTTCTTTTTTTAATTTTTTTTTTCTTATTTATGCATTTTTAGCAATGTTTATTTTTTATATTAAAACTTTGAAATACTTTTTTGGAATATTTTTTGGAAATATTTTGGAATATTTTGGAATATTTTTTGGAATACTTTTTCTCATTAACTGAACTCTGCCTTATTTTAAAAGTTTCAGGACTTGTTTATTACATTATAATACTTGTTTTGACCTCAGATTTTTAATGCAAAGCTATAAAAGATGAAATATTGTAGTTTAAAGTGTTAAAATTATTGATAATTTGTATAAATGTAAAATGATTTTGCAAAAATCGCAATATTTTTTGAAATAATTTAGATAACAAAAATTCCCACGGTCAAGCACAACAAAATATAACAAAATATAGGAAACATATAGGAATATAGGAAAAGTACAAAAGTACAGTTTGAGTTATAAAAGCAAAATTAAGTTATTAGGTTTTGAAGTTTTGCTTAAAACACAACTTTTACAATTTTCAGCCGTTATGAATTTTTTTTCAACAAAAAAAAAAATTTTATAAACTCTTTTTTAATTTAATTTTTATATAAGTTTTTTTTCCTCAAAAAAAAACTATTCAAATTTACAATAATTAAAAATAACCCTGCTTTGATTTGTGTGCCACCTTAACTGTTTTAAAGTGTGGTTTTAATCTTTCTGAACTTTAATTCAAAAATCGAATTTTTTTTTTGAAATAAAACCTTCGTAATACAGAAGCTTATAAACAAACTAAACATTTTAATTTAAAAAGTTCTTTGCATCACCAAAAATATTAAAAAAAGAAAACTTTTTTTTTAAAGAAGATAGATAAATACAACCGACTGTAGGCTGCCGTGTGCTAATCTATGCCTCAGATTTTAAAATTAGTCAAGCAGAAAGAAGCAAATTGTTTGTGGGATGCAATTATAAGTGGTGACAAAACATATGATTCAGTAATAGATGACATTCGGAGAAAGTCATTGCAACAGAAGAGTCAACGAATGTCATTTTGAGAAGCTCTGAAAAGGCAGTAAAAATAGTAAAACTCAAAGCAGAAGCGCCAAAACAAAAAAATTTATCTTCAGACAC